GGCTCAAAGTAAGAGGAAGAGAAGCAAAATTTCAGGCAAACGGAACACAAAAGAAAGGAGGAATTGCCATCTTAATCTCAGACAAAATACTCTTTAAGCTATCAAAAATTTAAAAAGATACAGAAGGCCACTACAAGAATGATAAAAGGTTCAATCCATCAACAAGAAATATCCATCCTAGACATATATGCACCCAACATAGGAGCGCAAACTTTCATAAAGCAGCTTCTAGGTATATTCAGAAAAGATATTGATTCTAATACTATCATAGCTGGGGAATTTAATACCCCATTCACAACCCTAGACAGATCATCAGTACAAAAAATCAGCAATAAGATCCAGAACCTCAATGTGACTATTGAACAAATGAACTTAATTGATATCTACAGAACACTCCACCCAACGACCACAGAATATACATTCTACTCATCACCACATGGAACAGACTCTAAGATTGACCACATCCTTGGCCATAAATCAAGCATAAACAAATTTCAAAAGATTGAAATTTTGCCATGCACCTTCTCGGACCACAGTGGAATAAAAATAAATATCAACACCAACAAGATTCCCCCAAAACATACAAAGACATGGACACTAAACACCATGATGCTAAATAACTCCTGGATCAACATGGAAATCAAAACAGAGATTAAAAGTTACCTGGAAACAAATGAAAATGAAGAAACATCTTACCAAAATCTCTGAGATGTCATGAAAACAATACAAAGAGGGGAATTCACATCTCTACAAACGCTCATGAAGAAAATGGAAGGATCATAAATTAACAGCCTAATAAGTCACCTAAGGAAGCTGGAAAAGCAAGACCACCAAAACCCTAACTTCAGCAGAAGATCCAGATCACCAAAATAAAAGCCCAAATCTGGGACACAGAAGACAAAAAGATAATACAAAAAAAATCAATGAAATAAAAAGCTGGTTCGTTGAAAGGATAAACAAGATTGATGGATCCCTACCTAGACTGCCAAGAAAAAGCCCAAATAAATACAATCAGAATCACAAAGATGAAGTCACATCTGACCCTGAAGAAATACAAAAGATCATTAGAGACTACTATGTACACTTGTACGGAAATAAACTTGAAAACCTTAAGGAAATGGAGGACTTTCTTAAATCACAAAACCTACTCAGATTGAAACAAGAATAAATAGAGATCCTAAATAGACCAATAATAAACCAGGAAATTGAGTATGTCATAAGAAAACTGCCTACAAAAAAAAAAAAAAAAAAGCCCTGGACCAGATGGCTTTTCAGCAGAATTTTACAAAACATACAAGGAGGAGCTAATACCAATACTATTTAAAGTATTCCAGGCAATTGAGAAAGATAGAACTCTCTCCAAATCATTTTACAAAGCTAACATCACACTGAAATCCAAGCAGGTAAAGATCCAACAAAGAAAGAGAACTACAGGCCAATATCCTTGATAAACATTGATGCTAAAATTCTCAAAAAAATTCTAGCAAACCAGACCCAACAACACATCTCAAAATAATCCACCATGAACAAGTAGGCTTCATCCCTGGGATGTAGGACTGGTTCAACATCCACAAGACCATAAATGTAATTAAATACATCGATAGATGTAAAAACAAAACCACACAATTATATCATTAGATGTGAGAAAAGCTTTTGATAAAATCCAGCATCTCTTCTTAATATAAACCTTTAGACATCTAGGCATAGATGAAACATACCTCAAAATAGTAAGAGCCATCTATGAGAAACCCATAACTAACATACTGTTAGATAGAAATTGGAACCATTTCCCATTAAAATCTGAACAAGACAAGAATGCCCACTCTCACCCCTCCTTTTCAATATAGTACTGGAAGTCCTAGCTAGAGCAATCAGGCAAGAGAAGGAAATCAGTGGTATCCAAATAGAAAAAGAGGAGGTTAAGTTATCCCTCTTTACAGACGACATGATTCTATACCTCAAAAACCCAAAGAGACTCTCTCAAAAACCTCCTTGCACTGATAAAGGACTTTAGCAAAGTCTCAGGGTATAATATCAATGTGCAAAATACAGTTGCATTCCTATATACCAACAATATACAAACAGAAACCCCCAAAAAAGCACAATCCCATTCACAATAGCCACAAAAAAAGAAAAGAAATACCTTGGCATTTTCCTAACCAGAGAAGTGAAAGCCCTTTACAATAAAACTACAAAACACTGCTCAGAGAAATCAAAGATGACACAAATAAATGGAAGAATATTCCATGCTCATGAATTGAGCAACATTTTTAAGATGTCCATCCTACCTAAGGAAATCTGTAGATTTAATGCAATACCCATGAAATTACCAACATTATTCTTCTCAGACCTGGAAACAATAATACAGAAATTCATATGGAAACATAAACCACGAATAGCCAAAACAATTCTCAGCCCAAAAAAAAGGAGGTATCACAATCCCAGACTTTAAATTTTATTATAAAGCTATAAGAATCAAAACAGACTGGTATTGGTACAAGAACAAGCATAAAGACAAATGGAACAGGATTGAGATTCAGGAAGCAAAGCCTCAGTTTCTCAACCAACTCATCTTTGACAAAGCCTCTACCATCAACCACTGGAGAGAGGAGAACCTATTCGGTAAATGGTGCTGGGGAAACTGGCTGACCACATGCAGATGATTAAAACAAGACCCCTACCTATCACCAGACACAAAAATCAGCTCTAAGTGGATCAAAGACCTAAATGTAAAACCACAAACTATAAGAACCTTAGAGAATGCAAGATATACCCTTATGGAAATTGGAACTGGCAACCAATTCCTGATCAAAACCCCAAATGCTCATGCCAAAAGAGATAAGATAGACAAATTGGACCTCATCAAACTGACAAGCTTCTGCAAAGCAAAAGAAACCACTGAGAGAGCAGGGAGACAGCCCACAGAATGGGAAAAAAAATTTTTGCTAACTATATATCTGACAAGGCCTAACATTTAGGATCTACAAGGAACTCAAAGGTACTGAAGAGAAAAAAACAAGCAGCGCTGTTACAAAGTGGGCAAAAAATATGAATAGACCTTTCTCAAAAGAGCAGCCAACAGAAACATGAAAAAATACTCAGCCTTACTATTCATCAAAAAAATGCAAATCAAAACCACACTGAGATACCACCTAACTTCAGTCAGGATGACCATCACTAACAACTTAAAAAACAACAGATTCTAGAGAGGATGCAGGGAAAAGGAAACACTTCTACACGGTTGGTGAGAGTATAAACTAGTACAGCCTCTGTGGGAAACAGTTTGGCGATTCCTAAAAGATCTAAAAATCGACCTTCCATATGACCCTCAACCACCTGGAGGAAGATACGGATACTATCCCAAATAACTAATAAGAAAACCAATACCCTCAGAGGTATGTAAACTGCCTAATGTCACACAACTAGCAAAACGGAGGAACCACAAGAACCAATCAGAACAGACACCAAAAGTCATCTTGGAGTCCTTGAGTATTCATTATTTAGGTGAAAGATTGTGGAAAGGTAGGACGGGGCAGGGGGTCCCAGGGAGCAACCAGGACAGCCTGAGTAGCAGGGATACACTTGTGAGGCTTGGACCAACCACTATTTATCAAGTATAGAAATATTTCAATATTTTAGCAAATAGTATAGACATTCAAGTATACATTGACCTGGGAATATGCAAGACTCTATCGCACATATGACTTGATTCCATAAGTCATGTTTTTAACCACTCTCACCTCTCTCTGCCAACAACTGAGCCCCACCCTCATTTCAATATACTTCATCTTCAACTTGCTGTTCTACTCATATTTTTATGTCTTGGTATAGAACATAACAGATTCATGCACTATCCTATTGACCATTTATACCATTTATAAAAATCTTTTAATTATCTTTTTTCTTTTTATAAGTGCAACTGCCTTCTAAAAAGAATGGGTTCCTTTGAATGAAAATCCTTTTGGAATTCCTGAGCACCTTGATGATTTTAGCTGATCAAGGATCTGAATATCTACAAAGAACACACTGAGTTCTCTGTGGCAAGCTGGGATGGAAGTCGGAAGTAGAAGATATGAAAGATAAAAAGACTAGAGAGAAACCGCAGAGATGTTGTATGACTGGCAACTAGTTAGGACCTTTAAAAACTCATTGGTGTGATGACCAATTGGACATTTAAAGAAACTTGATGCCAGGTGTTTGAATTTAAAGGCATTTGCATTGATATGGTATAAAGTCCTCCTCTGCCTACCCCACCACCATCACCAATCCTCTCACCAGCAATCATCAGTAAAGCATACTACTTGCACACATTCTTTGAAGGAAGAGAGGTTAGTGAAAGTTGAAAAAGGGCCCAACTTTCATGTCTGGGTCTACTTGAGCATGACACCACAACTGTGACTCAGGTTGTATTTCCAGTGGACAGTGCTGGTATGGCGAACTCCTTTGAGAAGTTGTACTATAAAGAGAAGTAAAAATATAGGGAGATAACCGGAGGGTACAAGTGGGAACAAGAGAGGTTTTAAAACTTTTATTTAATAACTTTTTCTTCATAGGGTGAATTGTGAGAATAAAATGAGAAGAAGCATGTAAGGAGCTTAGAACAATGTCTTGCCCAAGTAACTGCTCAAAGTGTTAGCTATTATTCTTACTTCTCTGCTTTTGTATGAGAAAGATGGGCGAGGAAGAGGAATAGAGGTCCCTCTTCTGAAGAGGTCTCAAACTCATGGGGGAAGCAGACACTTAAAGAGACAAGAATGTGGTATAATAAATGGCTAGAATCAATCTTTGAAAAGAATACTATATGAGTAGAAAGGAGAGTCACTTAATCCAGATTGGAGACCTGGGAAGACTTTTTAGCATACAAGAATTGAAGAAGCCAAAGGAGGGAGGGACGGAGGGGGAACATAGGGAGAGAGAAAGGAGGAGGGGAAGAGAGAGAGATAGAAAGGGAAATAGGCAAGGAGAGGAGGAGGAGGGAGAGAGATCAGGGGTCTCCTTACTCTCTTCGTGTTCTTTGAAGCATCTGCAGATCACGCCTCTGGTCTACAAGCTGGTGCAGGATGGTTCTCCTCTTGTGTCCTGCTGCTGCCTCCAGCTGGTGTTTCATGAAATCCTGTTCTAGCTTTCGCTTTTCCACCATCAGCTCACCCTCATTCTTACCAAAGATGGGCTCTGAGGAGTCTGGCTCAAACATGGGGAGCTGGGAAGTTTTGTTCTTTATCTGAAATGGACACACATAATGCAGATTATAATTCTACCAACTTTATGCACAATGATAATAGAGTAAAATACTAATACCTTACAGGAAGGAACAAAGGGCTCAAAAACCATCAAATACATAACACATAAGAGCATTCATAACATTATATAACATTACATATTTCAGAGAGCTATTGAAGCTCTGCATAATTTTAAAAATAATAATAATTGTCACTTTACCTGTGCATCCAAAGCTCTCTTGTAACACTGTGTTTCTTCCATCTTATCTTTTAAATATTTGGCTCTTTGTGCAGCAAGTCTGGCAGTTAAGAAAGGAGAAGGTGAGGCACAGTTTTATAGAGTGTTTGGTAACACAGATGTAACATCACAAAAACATATTCAACAAGTGTTCATAGGAATGAGAGCTTGTTAAGTAAAAATTGATGCTTTACTCTGGGAGCTTTCATTTTAAGAAAGAAAAGAGTAAGTCATATCCATAGGCTAGTGAACAATGTGTTAAACACAAGACAGACAGGACAGACATAATCAGGTGACCAACTATATTATCCAAATGCACTACTACTAAAATGAATACCACCATCACCCCAACCACCCTACTGCCACCAATTCTTTTAAAACTTTAGATAAGAAAGTAATAAGTGACTGTGACTATTCATTCTATAACCTGATTCATTGTAAGATTTCTTATTAAGAAAAATGATCTATCCTATTAAAAATTAATGCTTCTAGTATGTGTAACCTCCAGGGAACCCATATGATCTTTTAAGTGCATATAATGGAACATATACATTTTATATAAATACACTTTTGGTCACAGAAATTTGCTTATTATTTGTTTTAGAAGTCTCTGCTCACACTACAGTAGCCCCCACCATTGCCCTACTGATCTTGGCAACAGAAATGTGGGCCCCTTAGGTATATATAAACCTTGTGGGCCTGACCCTATCCCAGGTCTCAGATAGCCCAATCAAAGCCAGTCAGATTCTCTTCCCTGAAAATTTGGAATTGAGACAAACATTTTCCAAGTTTGAGCTGTAATAAAAGATGCTGTCAACTAAGGAGGTATGGGCACAAGCAGAGGAAAAGCCAGTCCACATGGCTTTTTAGTCCCTGGCTCCAGTTCTATATTGGCTCTCCATACACTCCTGTCCTCGGGTTCGGATACCTCCCTACATACTTATAATTAAACTTTAGCTTTGCCATGTGATCACCTGAGCATCTACTAGCTGGGAATGGTGCCTGCTCAAGACAAGTCACTTCCTCCATCTACTAGTATAGCAAAACAATACAAAATGATATTCTATAATTATTTTTCTATAATTCATTTTTCTAATGAAAAGTTATTCTGTGGTACTGACTGCTAACTGGGTAGTTTGCTCAATTGATTGCAGTGGTGCTAATGAAACTGCCAATGCTGACTCAATCCCACATGGATATTAATGTCACATGAAAATTCCAAACCCTTTTTTCAGAGTGTGTCTAGCTGGACTCACTCCTCTGTAAGTTGCACTTGTTCCAGGCGGTCCATCAACTCTCTATTTTGTCTTTGCTTTATCTCCTTTTCCCGTCTGTTATCCATTTGGTTCAGGAGACTTTGAGAATATTCCTCTTGCTTAAGAGCATTAAGCTCAGGACTGAGTGGCCGTTTATCAAATAGGAAGGATTTCTAGAATAAAAGAGAAGCAATTCATTCATGTTAGAATACCAAAAAACAAAGTCAATAATTCAAAAGATTAAAATCAATCAAAGTATTACTTTTTTTGGCAGTGAAAATATTTTTAATGACATATTCAGAGAATTGTGCATATTTATCTTTGATACTACACTAAAATGACATAAGTACTAGCTTCCTAAAGGTTATTTATTAAAAGTATTTCTTAATTTCTAATATTTTCCCAGCCCTCAACACATTTGCCAGCTAGTGTTGAGGTAACCCATAAATAATATGAGTGTGATCAAGGATGAAGCTGAGTTTAACTGATTGGAGCCCTATTTCTGGGACTGAGGAAAAAGAATTCCATGGAGTAGGTCCTGAGTTAGCACTTACAATGTCCAAGTGGAAGGAAGAAGGGATGCTGAGTTCATGCAAAAGCATAAGCAAGGACAGAGAGGAGGCAGAAAGGGGAGGACTGAACCCCTACTGTGGGCCTGGCTGTTCTAGACACTGGAGATCCAAGGGTGGCCAACAAGAGAGACCCTTGCTCTCACCCAGCCTGCATTCTGGTGCAGGAGACGATGAACAAGGAAACAGTATGTCAGATTATTTAAGACAGTGATACGGATTTCTGGCAAGATGGCAATGGGACAGTTCAGACTGTGAGAGCCTTTGCAAAAGTGAATGTCCATAAAGACTCTCTACGTGAGTGGGTGTGTGCCGATGGATGAGTGAAAGTCCGTCTGAAGGGAGAGGTGGGTTCATGCACCCAGAGCTCTTCTCCAGGGGTGACTGCAACCCCCCACCACCCTGAGATTGGAGCCACCAGCAGGATTGTCTGCTGTTCTCGGGACTCTCCTGAGAAAGCCTACCTAATACAGTTGAGTCTCATCACCTGGCACCCAGCCCACACTTATCACCTGTGACAGCAAAGTGACTGGAGCCCCAGATCTGATCCATGGAGAGAGAAGATTGGGGAGAGCTGAAGAGGAGCCCAGCCACTGGTGAGGAAATGCCAACCAGAGCCATTTTCTCTGTGGCAGGACCAGGCAGAGACCTGCATTACCCCACCCAGCTCCACCCAGTCTCCAACTTGGGACCCAGAGATAATCTCATCAAACTTGGAGAGACAGGCGCCCCTCCCACATGCTGGATCAGACACAGACACATCAGATCTGAGTGGGAGATTTGACAGACAGCAAGCCAGGAGAGTCCAGATCTGATCCACCTTCTCCCACAGTAGTCTGTGGGCATCTGATCCACGCTGAGAGCAGAGGGGAGGGGCTGGAGATCAGAGCTAAAAGGAAGTTGGACTTACAGGAACGACCTCAGAGCAAGTTTTGGTTTTTTTGTTTGTCTGTTTGTTTTGCTCATTTTTTGTTTGTTTCCTGTTTTAATTTTCTTTATCTCTTCTTTCTATTTTGATTATGTTTTCATACTTGCTTTGTTTCTGTTACTTTAGTGCTTTGTTTTTTTAGACTTCCTGTTTGTGTACAGGTATTTTTGAGGGAGAATGCATCAATGGAGGGGTTTTTGTCAGTTTGTGTGTTTGTATGATTGTATGTTTTAGGGTTTTTTTAATCTTTTCTGTCTTTGTCTCTTTTCATTTGTTAGTTGGTATGCCTGTCTGATTTCCCTCTTATTCTTCTCTCTCTCCACCTTTCTCTTGTCTCCCTCCTTCCTTTTTTCCATTCTTTTCCTTTTTCTTACCTCATTTTGCTTTCAGCGAACAAAACTATACCCCCACTGCATGGACAGATCATTAGGCAGTGGGAAGTAGGTTCCAGGGGACGCACACACCTGCCAGCAGATACTGGGACCTGCAGATAGTTTATGAATCACAGCCCCCCCTCAATTAAATCTCAGACCTACACAAAGGACAGCCCCCCACCCACAGTCCAGCTTCAGAATTGAACAAAGTCAGAGGATCCACATAAGGAAGAATAGGAGATTGAGAAAACAGAAATAAAAGCTACCCCCCCATCCCCAAACAACAGAATTAAAGAAGAGGTTAAAAAAGGGGGATGGGGGAAGAAAATCTACAATATGAAGAAAAAAACAAAGGAAGAATATGGGTCTCATACAGACCCCTGGAAGGTCAGACAGTGAGAATATAGACTTCAGAATGTAAATAATGAAGACCCCCAGAATGACGGGTCTTAAACCACAAACCCAGAATCAAGACATTAATAGAATAAATAAAATTGAGGAGAGATGAGAAGAAAGGCTAAAGGAGTTGATAACTGAGATAACAGCAATAAAAAATACAGTGAATGAAATAAATAACAAACTAACCAGGCTCAGTGGCTCAGCCTGTAATCCCAACACTTTGGGAGGCCAAGGCAAGTGTATTGCCTGAGCCCACAGGTTCGAGGCGAACCCAGACAACCTGGTGAGACCTTATCTCTACAATAAAATAAAAAATAGCCAGGTGTGGTAGCACATGTCTATACTTCCAGCTACTCGGAAGGCTGAGGCGGAAGGATTGCTGGAGCCCAGAGGGTCAACGCTGGGGTTGCCGTGAGCATGCATGCCACTGTACCCCAGCCTGAGTGAAGGAGTGAGACACCAACTCAAAAAAAAATTTAAATTTAAATTTAAAAATAAATAAATAAATAACTGAGATAAGCATGAAAAGCAGAATTAGCCAAGCAGAAAAAAGAATCTCAGAGCTTGAGGACCAAAATATGGAACTAACCCAAACTGTCAAAAATATAGAAAAGAAGCTTAAAAATACAGAACAAAACCTTCAAGAGATGGGTGATTATTTCAAGAGGCCAAACCTAAGACTAATTGAACTTCCTGAGGCAGAGAGACAGAGACCACCCTGGAACAAATATTCCTTGAAATTATCCAAGAAAACTTCCCTTGCCTCATCAGTGACATGACCATTCAAACTACAAGAGATTCAGAGAACCCCTGAAAGACAACAAATGAGAAGACCAATTCCTACACAAAATAGGTATAAAAGAAAAAAATCCTAAAGACAGCAAGAGAGAAACATCATACTGCCTACTGGGGAAGACCATTTAGAATAGCAGCAGACTTACCTACAGAAATACTTCAGGCTAGGAGAGATTGGAGTCCAATCTTCAAAGTTCTCAAAGATAAACAATTTCAACCAATAATGACCTACCCAGCTAAGCTAAGCTTCATCAGTGGTGGAGCATTAAAATCTTTCATAGACATTCAATTCCTAAGAGCTACTGCCTCCAGACTAGCTCTATAAGAAACACTTAATAAAGTATTAAACACAGAAGAAAAAAATAAGAACAACGCCCTTCACAAGAATGTAGGGAAAAGATAAAAAACACACATGAATCAACTCAAAATTCAAAAGAAAGACAACAAAAAACAATAACAAACTATAAGAACCTCACAACAGGGATTAATCTCACATTTCAATAATTAGCCTGATTGTGAATGCACTAAATGCACCACTGAAAAGACAAAGAATGGCAAGATGGATAAAATACCATAAGGCAACAATATATTGTCTCCAAGAGACTCATCTCACCAGAAAGGACACTCACAGACTCAAATTAAGAGGATGAGAAACAAAATTTCAGGTGAACAGAACACAAAAGAAAGCAGGAGTTGAGATCTTAATATCAGACAAAATACCCTTTAATCTATCAAAAATTTTAAAATATATGGAAGGTCACTACAAAATGATAAAAGGTTCGATCCATCAACAAGAAATATCCATCCTAAACATATATGCACCCAACAGAGGCGCACCAACTTTCATAAAGCAGCTTCTAGGTAAACTAAAAAAAGATATTGACTCTAACGTTATCATAGCTGGGAACTTAAGTAACCCATTCACAACCCTAGACAGACCATCAAGATAAAAAATCAACAAGGAGATCCCGAACCACAATGGGACGCTTGACCAAATTGACTTAATTGATAACTATAGAATACTCCCCCAACAGTCACAGAATATACATTCTACTCATCACCACATGGAATGTACTCTAAGATCAACCACATATCCTCAACCATAAATCAAGCATATACAAATTTCATAAGACTGAAATCCTGCCACGTACCTTCTCATATCACAGAGGAATGAAAATAAATATCAACACCAACAAAGTTCCCCCCAAAACATACAAAGACATGGACACCAAACAGCATAATGTTAAGCAACTCCTGGGTCAACATGGAAATTAGAACAGAGATTAAAAGATGCCTGGAAACAAATGAAAATGAAGAAACATCTTGTCAAAACCTCTGGGATGCCATGAAATCAGTACTAAGAGGGGAATTCATATCTCTGCAAACACACATGAAGAAAATGGAAAGATCAGTGGAGGGGTGAGGGGGATTTTTAAAAAAAGAAAATGGAAAGATCACAAGTTAACAACCCAACAAATCACCTAAGGAAGCTGGAAAAACAAGACTACCAAAACCCTAGCTTCAGCAGAAGAATCCAGTTCACCAAAATAAAAGCCCAAATTCAGGACATAGAAGACAAAAAGATAATACAAAAAAATCAATGAAACAAAAAACCGATTCTTTGAAAGGATAAACAAGATTAATGGACCCCTAGCTAAACTGACGAAGAAAAAGCCCAAATAAACACTATCAGAAATGCAAAAGATCAAGTCACAACTGACCCCAAAGTAATACAAAAGATTATCAGAGACTACTAAGTACACTTGTATGGAAACAAACTTGAAAACCTAAATGAAATGGAGGATTTTCTGACATCACACAACCTCCCTAGCTTAAAAAAAGAAATCAAGACCCTAAATAGACCAAGAACAATCCAGGAAATTGACTATGTCAAAAGAAAACTATCTACAAAAAAAGCCCTGAACCATATGACTTTTCAGCAGAATTCTACAAAACAAACAAGGAGGAATTGATACCAATCCTACTGAAAGTATCCAGGTAATTGAGAAAGATGGAACTCTCCCCATATCATTTTACAAAGCTAACATCACATTGATACCTAAACTGGGTAAAGATTCAACAAAGAAAGAAAACTACAGGCCAATATCCTTGATGAACTTAGAAACTAAAAGTCTCAACAAGAACCTGGCAACCTGGATTCAACAACACATCTCAAAAATCATCCAACATGACCAAGTAGGCTTCATCCCCAGGATGCAGGACTGGTTCAACATTCGTAAGACCGCAAATGCAGTTAAATACATCAACAGATGTACGACAGTGATACGTTTTAGGATGCCCTTATCATAGCAAGTGGCTGGATGGGAATACGGCCAAATTGGTGGTTATTAGGGAAGACTTTTCCAGATGATGATGAATCACCTTCACTGTAAATACCAGGGGGATCTGTGCTCTACACAGAACAGCAAGGGCAAAGATACTGGATAGAAATAAGTTAGGCATGTTCAACAGGCAGAGAAAAGTTCTCTGTGGCTGAGACATAGAACAAGGGCAAGAAGTGGGTGAGATCAAGGAGGAAGACAGGAGTCAAAGCAGGTAGGGTCTGATAAGTCAAGGCGAGGAGGTTAGATTTCATTTTGATTAAATGAGAGACCACTAGAGGTTCTAAATGGGAGAACAGTATGTTCTGGTTAATGACTTTAAAAGATCACTCTGGCTGCTGTGTGGAGAACATACTGTAAAAAAGGAAGAATACAAGTTGTGAGTCTAGGGAGACATTATGGAAGTTGAGCAATATAATGTGGCTTGGACTCAGAAACACTGAAGGTGAAGACATGCAAACCGATATTGGATACACTTTAGGGGTAAAGGCAACTGAACTTGTGGATGTTCAAAGGTGGGGGACAGAGGAAAGAGTCCTGGATTGCATCTAGGTATAGGATTTGTGCAACTAGCTGACTAGTGATGGTGCTTCCTGACATGGAAATACTGAGAGAAGAACAGGCTAAGGAGGAAATCAAAAGCTCTGTTTTAGTTTTTTTAAATTAAACATGTATGTAGATATATCAAAGAGAGATACAAAGTGGGCAGTAATTAATACAACTTAAAAATTCTATATAAGAGAGAAAGAACACGTCAAAAGCCCCATGTTCCCTCCCTCCCTCCATTGGCTTCTTTGCCCAACTCTTACAAGACAGGAAATCTTCCCAGATCTCCAGTCTAGATTAAGTAACTCTCCTTTCTGCTCACAGACTCCTTTTCAAAGATGTATCATAGCCATTTATTATACCATACTCTTGTCTCTTTAAGTGTCTGCCTCTCCCATTGGACTGATACCTCTTCAGAAGAGGGAACTTGCTTTCCTAGCACAGCAGCCAGCACAGAGGAGTTCAATAAATGTTTGAGGATAAGTAAAGAAAATATATTTTATTAGATATATATTCAGAGTAGTAGTGTGAAAGGAGAAAGATTCAGGCAGAAATAAAGGCAGGCACACAATGACAGAAAACATTAAGCAGCTGGCTCACCATCATCTAAAGCTGGGTTTCTCAAACCTTAATGCACATAAAATCACCTGGAGATGTTATTCCACTGTATACACCCATTCAGGGGGTCTGAGATGGGGTTCTAGATTCTGTATTTCCAGCAAGCTCCCAGGTGATGCTGATCCTGCTGGTTTTCTCTCTAGATCCTGAGGCTGGACTTTAGTATACTGCCCAACCTACCACCCCCTATCCCAGGTCCTGGTTGAGAATCACTATAATTAACAAGAGCTAGCTGGGCTCGGTGGCTCAGCCTGTAATCCTGCGCCTTTGGGAGGCTGAGGTGAGTGGATTGCCTGAGCCCGCGGGTTCGAGACCCGCCAGGGCAACGAGACCTCATCTCTACAATAAATCAAAAAATCAGCCAGGCATGGTAGCGCATGCCTGTAATTCCGGCCACTTGGAAGGCTGAGGCGGAAGGATCGCCGGAGCCCAGCAGGTCGAGGCTGCGGTGGCCGGGAGCGGCCACTGCACTCCAGTCTGGGTGACAGAGTGAGACTCCAACTCAAAGAAAAAAAAAAAAACAAGAGCTGCCCTGACCCATGGGAACTGTATGATGAATGTACACAGTGTGGCAGCAGACGCTGGACAGCACCTGCCCTAGAAGAAAGTTTCAGACTGTACCACCCACTTTTCAACTCTGACACTTAAAAAATGGGATGACCTGCAACACAGAGGGAGTGAATCCAAAGACTCACAGATGGGGTAGGTGTCAGCAGTAGAAATTTTTTAAAGACTCACATAAAATTCAGGTTTCTCACTCCTGTGGCTTCTTATGGCTTCAGCAACTCCAAGATTGTAGGCTGCGTTTTTCTGATTTTGCTCTCTAGCAGCCAGATTTTTCATCTATTGCAAAAAACATTTTTAAAATTTTTAATTACATATTAAAATGCAGACTTTAAATTTTTTAATTCTATTACATTTACAAAATCCAACCAAGGTAGAAACTTGCCTTATAGAGGCAATGGTACTTCCTGATGTCTTTATAGATTCATAAAAGTATGTTGGGGAAGATTTTTTATTTCCTGTTCTTGGGCTTTGGGCATCACTACAGAAATCTAAGATGGAATGAAAGATTTCATCCCAAAGGCAGGAAAGAGCAGTGGGATCAATTATTGGAGACCACAGAGATGTGGATAGAGCAAACGTAACGTGCCACTCTGTCTTTGTTTGCTCGAGATAGGACATGAATCTGAAAGTAAAAGCCTTGACTGGAGTTATATTTTACCAGAAATCAAAAATAAAGCAATATGGATCCAGAAATTACATTTTAAAATTTAGTCTTTATGAGGGAAAAACTTCAGTGATGTGTGCAAACATTCAACTAATGGATATTCATCCCAGTGTTGTTTACTATTAGCAAAAACTTGGACACAACCTAAGTTTTAGTCCAGCAGTCAATACGAGATTAGATACGTTACAGTGTAGACATATGGATGGAATATTTTAGAGGACATGTTATGATCATGTTCTACCTACCCATGGCAAATACTCTTTAACCAAGGTGTTGGATTACCTGGTGTCTGATGAGCGCCTCCTGATCTTTCAACATCTGGTACTGCTGTATGAGTCGCTCATCTTCTATCTCTCTTCTCCATCTTTCCTCACCGTAGTACAATGGAGAATTTCGATGTGCTCGTTGCAAACATACATAGCACATCTCCTACAATCCCAAATTTCAGGACAAATAAATTGTTTGCATTTTATTTTTTCTCCTTCACAAGCTCTCCAAAGCTTGGGTATATAAAGAAACAGATTTTATCAAAGATACGTTGGTGGTAATTAATGAAATGGCATTTGCAGAGTGGAGCCTACAAAAAATCTAAAGGATTTACTAAGCTCTCACTTTATCAGAAATGTTTACACAAGTTGAAACCTAGAACGGGTTTTCCCAGCCCTATTTCTGTTAACTGGTAGATCTTGATTTATCACAGTCTAGTTTTGAGCCTGAGTGCTTGAACCATACCCATATATCATAATTAAGAGATTCTCAGAACTCTCTTTGAGAAATAGAGACCAGAATAAGGTTCCGATGGGGCTTTTTTTGAAGACACTGTACCTGTCCTGCTTTATTATGATCCTGGCAAGCAGGGATGAGGGATGTTCTGGGCTTCATCTCATTGTCATTTTTCAGACAACCTGGAGGTGATAAGCTATTAAAAAATACAAAATTAACTAATGTTCAATACAGTCTGACCACTAGAGCAATGATAATTTTAGAGCAGGTATAGATATAAGACAAACACTTCTCAGCGGTTTACTTTAGAACAGCTGTTAGAGAGGTTAAGAACCTGTACTTTGTGTCAGATAAAGATGGGTTTGAATCCCAGCTTTTTTGCTCACAAGCTAACTGACATGAAACTGTGTAGTCTTGCAAATTACCAATTCTGTCATGGGGATGATATATATTCCTCCCACAAAAATGCTTACCATGTACACTGTACTAGGCACAGGAGACTCAGAGAAGAACAAAACACACACATACAAAAATCCCTATCCTCGTGGAATTAACATTCTGACGAGGATAGACAGCCAATGACAGGATAAATAAGTGAACTCTATAGTATGTTCCATGATGATAAATGCCATGCAACACTGGAGGAATGGAATGTTAAAATGTAGATAGAATGGCCAGGGAAATTCTCACCAAAAAGGTGACCTTTGAGTAAATACCTGAAGGAAGCAAAGGAGCAACAATGTAGATATCTGATGAAAAAGACATTCCAGGTGAGTCAAAGTCCTTGAGGTGGGAAGTGCCTATGTTCAGTGTGGTGGGGGGAGATAAGTTCGGGGTGAGACTGGTTCACCTAATATTAATATAAATTCATTAGAAAATAGAACTGATAATATCACCTAAAACAGAGACACAGATGAAAATCCTGAAAAATAAGTTGAGAAATAAAGAACAAATTCAGAAGCTCAAGTATACATTTAATAGGGTGCTGGATTTATAGACTAAAGGGATGGCAAGGAACAATATTCTAGAAGATATTAGATAAAAATTCTTCAGAAAGTCATGACTCCTAAGATTAATAAAAGTGCAGAGCATCAAACAATAAGAAAGACTTGTATAAGCTGCAAGAAATAATGACAACCAGATTGACTCAGACTTCTCATAAAGACAACTGTCAGAAGAAAATGAAGCAATTATCATTAAAGTGCTGAGAGAAAATAACTATGAACCAAGTATGAGCATTCAAGAGTGACAACACAATAAGTCATTTTAAGGAATACAAAGATTAAGTATATTGAAAAGTCAGAGAACAATTAAAGGATATACTTTAATAAAAAGAAAAAGAAAAATGAACCCAAGAGAAAGGGCAGAGATATAAGAAACAATGGTGAGTAAAGAAATTGGTAAAATGTATTGGCAAATCTAAATGATCGTTGACCATAAAATAATAGTAAATTTGTATACTTAATAGCAAATTGGAACAAAATTTCTAGACAACAAAAATACGGAAGGCTTGGAATGGTGGAGTTTGAAGGAAATTCTAAAGCATGCCAAAGAAATGTGATCAATCCAACAGAAAACAGAAAAGGAATAATGAAGTTAGATGCATAATAAATAGATAGTACAAAATAAGACAATAAATATTGGTCCAGATATACCAATAATTACAATTGAAAAGTAAAGTCTAGAGTGAATTTGTAAACATCCAAATATAAGCTGTTTACAAGAGACACACATAAAATAATAAAACACACACAAAGATGGGAAATGGCATAAGAAGGTTATTCCAGGTAAATACTAATCAAATGTTGCATTGTTAATCAGATAGCTAAGGTTTGGTAAAGACAAAGGAGAAGATTTTATAATAATAAAAGGAACTATTTACCAAAAAAATCATGGACATGTGTAGAATGCAGCATATTGCTTAAGAAGCAAAAATTGACATAATTACTGAAAAAAACCTAAAAAAAGTATGCAATCACAGTGAAAGATTTTTAACATCTCTCTCATAAAAAAATTAGTAAAGATTTAAAAGCTTGTAACAACTTATTGAACAAGGTTTAGCTAATACCTAGAAGTTTGCATCCAAAGAATAGTTGTAAGGGTACCTGCATAATGAACATTTGTATACCTAATCCTGAATTGTGCCCCTCATATTTAAAAGTAAAAATAAAAAAAACAAAGAATAGTTGTACACAGTCTCAAGTATACATTGAACAATCACTGTATAAGTACTCAAGGAATTCACAAAGAGAGGCTCAACAAATTATAAAGCCCCAAATAACTGACATTAAATCAACCACAGTAAAAAATAAGGAAGTATCCCCCCCAAAACCTCCATTTACTTAGAAACCTAATAAAACAAGTCTTCTAAATAACCAATGGATTAAGTAGTATATGCGTCTACAATCCCTTACTGCAGTTCCAAAATACAAATGCTCTGAAGATTTGAGCCTCACTAGTCCTGTTTTATAATTTCTTGTTTTTTGCTTATGCTTTCCATTCTATCTTTTATTTCTTTAAACATTCTGTATTCTTAATGTTCAAGATCCAGAACCCTTGAGAGTTCAATTCTTCCATATTTTGTTTCTGATGGCTTTTATTTATGTGGCGCCTTGTTTATATGTGGTTCCTTTAATTTTGGACTGTGACCTCAGTTTGGCCCAATTTAATCTGTCAGAAGTTATAGGAGTCTGGGTTGAGAATTAGATTCTTTAGAACAAAGAGTGGCAAACTTTTTTCTGACAAGGGCCAGGGAGTAAATATATTAGGTTTTGAGGGCCATATAATCCCTGACACAACCAGCAGTCACAGATAATATACAAACAAATGGTCATGGCTGTGTTCCAATAAAACTTTATTTATAAAAACATGTAGTGGACTGGATTTGGCTCTTAGTAGGACCTTTTCAGAATATTTAGATCATCATATAGTTGGAAGCAGAAGCTTTCATTTTTTAATAATTTTTTTTCTTAAACCTCAAAATCTGGGGTGAGTGAGTATGTGTGAGAATTCTCTTAAGTAATGAAAGTCCTACATCCCACTTAGTTTTAAAAAACTTAAACCTCAGTATATAAAACAGAAAAAAAAAAAGCAGCATTCTCCGGTAGAAGTGAGGGAATAGAGCCCAGAATTCTATCCACACGACCTCACTCTCACCCTTTAAGATGCCCTGAAGCCCCTCTGAAGAGCCTTAAGGTCATTTGTTAGATACAAATGGCCTCGGCTACTGCCTTAACCTCCTAAATTGTGCCAACATTTTATTATACCTCTTCCTTTGCAGCATTAATCCTATCCCACTCATTCTTTACTCTTCTAAAAGAATATTTTGTAAAAATGAAAATGTAGTCATGTACTGAACATCCTCTGCCATGGTGTTTAGGACCTTTAATAGGTTGGTAAATTGGACAGAATGAGTTTTAAACTTCTGTGCCCTAAATGATGCGGAAACAAAATTTAATTTAAAAAAAGAAACCCAAATAAACACAATCAGAAATGCAAAAGATCAAGTCACAACTGACCCCAAAGAAATAAAAAAGATTATCAGAGAATACTATGCATACCCATATGAAAACAAACTCAAAAACCTAAATGAAATAGAGGACTTTCTGACATCACACAACCTCCGAAAGTAAACAAGAAATTGAGACCCTAAATAGACTAATAACATCCCAGGAAATTGACTCTGTCATAAGAAAATTACTACAAAAAAAGCTCCGGACCAGGCGGCTTTCCAGTGGAATTCTACAAAACATACAAGGAGGAGATGATACCAATCCTACTGAAAGTATTCCAGGCAATCAAGAAAAATGGAACTCTCCCTAAATCATTTAATGAAGCTAACATTACACTGTTACCCAAACCAGATAAAGATCCATTTAAAAAAGAGAACTACAGGCCAATAACCCTGATGAACATAGATAGATGCAAAATTCTCAACAAGATTCTAGCAAATTGGGTCCAACAACACATCTCAAACTTATCCACCATGACCAAGTAGGCTTCATCCCCTGGATGCAGGACTGGATCAACATCCATGAGATCATAAATGTAATTCAATACATCAACAGATATAAAAACCAGACCATTCTGAATTATTAGATGCAGGAAAGGCTTTTGACAAAATCCAGCATTCTTTCTTGATTAAAAACCCTTGAACACCTAGGCATTTAGTGAACATACCTCAAAATAGTAAGAACCACCTATGATAAACCCACAACCACATACTGCTAAACAGAAATTGGAAGTATTTCCCCTGAAAACCAGAACAAGGCAAGGCTGTCCATCTCACCCTCTCCTGTTCAACATAATGCTGGAAATCCTAGTCAGAGCAATCAGACAAGAGAAGGAAATCAGGAGTAACTAAATAGGAAAAAGAGGAAGTCAACTTATCCTTCTTTGCAAACAACATGATTCTATACCTTGAAAACCTTCCAAGAGAATCTGGCAAAAACCTCCTTGTACTGATAAAGGACTTCGACAAAATCTCAGGCTACAAAATAAACATGCAAAAGACAGTCACATGTTCATACAGCAACAACAAACAGGCGGAGAACCAAATAAAAAGCACAATCCCAAACACAATGGCCAAGCAAAAAAAAAAGAGAAAGAAAAGAAATACCTTGGCATTTTCCTAACCAGAGAAGTGAAAGATTTTTGCAATGAAAACTACAAAACACTGCTCAAAGAACTCAAAGAAAATATAAACAAATGGAAAAGTATTCCATGCTCATGGATTGGAAGAATCAATGTTGTTAAGATGTCCATCCTACCCAAGGCAATCTATGGATTCAACCCCACTAAATTACCAACATCATTCTTTTCAGACCTGGAAATGACAATACAGAAATTCATATGAAAAAATAAGCAACCACGAATAGCCAAAACAATCCTCAGCAAAAGAAACAAAGCAGGAAGTGACACACTTCCAGACTTCAAATTCTACTATAAAGCTACAATAATCAAAACAGCCTAGTATTGGTACAAGAACAGCCATACAGACCAATGAAACAGGATAGAGACTCTGGAAGCAAAACCTCAATTTCTCAACCAACTCATCTTCAACAAAGCCTTCACCAATGACCATTGGGGAGAGGAGAACATATTCAGTAAATAGTGCTGGGAAAACTGGCTGACCACATGTAGAAGATTTAAACAAGATCCCAACCTATTGCCATACTCAAAAATCAACTCTAAATTGATCAAAGACCTAAATGTAGAACCTCAAACTATAAGGATTTTAGAAAATGCAGGAGACATCCCTACAGAAATTGGAAAAGGTAACCAATACCTGATCAAAACCCCAAGTGCCCATGCCATAAGAGATAAGATAGACAAGTGGGACCTCATCAAACTGAAAAGCTTCTGCAAAGCAAAAGAAACAATTAAGAGAGTGGGGAAACAGCCCACAGAATGAGAAAAAATATTTGCCAACTGTATATTTGACAAAGGCCTAACATCTAAGATCTACAAGGAACTCAAACATTCCAAAAGGAAAAAAAAAAAACAACTCTATTAAAAAGTGGGTAAAATATATGAATAGACACTTCTCAAAAGAAGACATATGACCAGCCAACATATATATGAAAAAATGCTCAGCCTCACTAGTCATCAAAGAAATGCAAATCAATACCACACTGAGATACCACTAAACTCCAGTTAGGATGGCATCATCAATAACAGAAAACAACAGATACTGGAGAGGATGTGGGGAAAAGGGAACACCTCTGCTCTGTTGGTGGAAGTGTAAACTATTACAACCTCTGTGGAAAACAGTGGTTGTACTAGTAGCAATTTCTAAAAGATCCAAAAACTGACTTCCATATGACCCAGCAATCCTCCTACTGGGAATATACCCAGAGGAACTCAAATCATTCTGCAAAAAAGAAACCTGCACATACATGTTTATTCACAATAGCAAAAACATGAAACCAACCATGCTGCCCATTGAAAGTGGACTGGATTAATAAAATGTGGTATTTATACACAACTGAATGTTATATAGCCATAAAGAAGGACAAAATTATGGACTTCACAGTACCTTGGATGGATTTAGAGTCCATAATAGTGATCTATCACAGAAACAAAGAACTGAGTACCACATGTCCTCACCCATAAGTGAACCCTGAATATTTATCATAATACTACAGTAGTGGAACAGCCAGGGCAAGAGGGAGGGGGCACATAACATCAATAAGTATACCTGATTTCAAATCAAGCGGAGTGGGGACCAATGAGAGGCCCAAACTTCACCTGTACAATAACCACTTATGTACCTAATCCTGAATTGTACCACACTTCTTTAAAATTTTTTTAAAATTTTCATTAAAAAAGAAAATTGGGGAAACATTTAAGACATATACATCAGAAAACTATTCATACCTATGGTAAATAAGGCTCTCTTTTAAAAAAATACAACCTGTCCCTAAGATAAAATGAAGTGAACCTCCCAGAAGAAAAGGGATACAGGATTCAAACAGGAAATTTGCAAAAGAACTATGAAGGGTTAAGAGATATTTAAAAATAAATATAAAATCACTAGAAATCAAACAAACACAATTTAAAACAATAATGAAATACCTTATTTTACTATTATAGTAAAAGGATCTCTTAAAGTACAACATCCAGTATTAGCAAAACTGTAGGATAATTTGGTACAATCTTCCAGAAAATAATTGACAATGTGTATCAAAGGCATGACAAATGGGCTCACCCTTTATCTCTAAAATTTACCTTTAAAGTTTTTATCCTACAGAATATCCAGATGTGTGCAAAAATTATACATAATTATATTTGTTACAACATTCTAATACTAAAAAACTGGAAACCATCTAAACATCCAACAGGAGACTGGTTAAACAAAAGGTTTAATCTTTCATTGAGATGATGTGCAATCATCTGTTCATGTTTTAAAATATTTAAAACCATGGGGAAATCTCACCACTTATTAAGTACAACAAAAGTTCATATAATATGATCTCAATTTTATTAAAAATATGTGTATGTTGCAAATATAAATATATGTGTATATTGTATATGCATTGAAATAAAGGATATACACTATAACGTTAATAGAAATTTTCCTCTATTCAGTGCAGTTATGGGTGATTTTTTGTAACTCTTGCTTTTATAGTTTTTTCAAAATGTCTGTGATAAACATGTATTATGTTAGTAATCAGCACAAAAAGCTTTTTTTGGTCGACTTCTACAGGAAACTGTCACTAACAATCTCCAACAATTATTTACTCCCTCCTCTTTACAGCCTCCATAATTTCTTTTGTTGTCTTGATAACATGCATCATTTCTTTCATGTCAATCTCCCTAGAAGACTGTTTTATGAAAGTAGGTTTATATGTCTTCAGCTCTGTATCTTCAGTGCCTAGAATAGTACCTGGCACATGATGGTGCTCAAGGTTTATTGGATTGAACTAAATTCCAAAGTACTAGACAATGAATTATCAATTATCTTTTGTAACAGTGAGATTATCCAAAACAAGCAAAACGTAGGATTTTGATTTTAGTAATCTACGAAGTACATGCATTGCACATATTATAGCTGATAAATTGTGTCACATTAATACATTGAAAGTTGACAGCACAACACAAGACACACAGATGCTCAATAAATACTTGAGTATGATTGACCAATTTGAAGTCTTAAAAAGTATCCTGCTCAAGGAAAGAAAGGTAAAATAGAAATCACAAGAAGAAGATATGGCCATGATAAACTGTAATACACTCATTCATTCAAAGAATTTTTATTGAGAATTAAAGGAGTACCAGCTGTGTTTGACAATATTACTTTCCAATTTGATATAAATACGACACTGTATCACATCATAATAGCCAAGCATTCAGAAAACAACAAGGAGAGTTTTGTAGATTTGAGAAGCCCAAATCTATAAAGGGAAGGAAAGTTGGATGCTCCCTCCTCTGTGCTATTTTGTTTCTGCCTCTGTGATAATGTATATCCCACTGAATCCTAATTTATCCCTCTGTGTAGGTTTGGCTTTCCACTAGATTGTGAGCCTTGGCCATCTGTATTATCCCCAACACCTTGCACAGAGAATGGTCTCAAGATAAATGAATGAACAATTAGTTAAATCACCTGCATCAAAAAATGACTCAAAACTATATTTAATAAAATACAATTTTTAAAATGTCAATGTATTACCTTTTAGGGGTCATAATATTTCCACCACTCGCACTTCGCTCAAACTTGTCCAGCAAGCTGACGCTTGTCACTTTGGCAGGGAGCATACCTTGTCTATCTCGAATTCTCTTTGGTGATGAAACCTCTATAGAATAAAGAATGAATAAAAACAAGTTTCAACTTTCAAACCACCAACTGGGTAGTTTGCACTTAACACAAACAAATTCTGACAGTTTCTAACCAAGGGAAATTGTCATAAAAGACACACTATCTTCAAATAATTGTCCTTATCCTATCTGCAAAATTTAAAAAGCACTGTGCTGAGCATTTAGAGAATAAAAAGAGGTAAATCTTTCAAAAGATATAGTTAAAGAGAAAAATAAGATTGGAAGTCTTCTTACATGCCAACAATGCTAAGTGTTTTGCATACATTGTGCAAACAGCAATTTAGGACAATGATGTAAAATGTCTAAATCCCAAACACATGGTGCAGTCTTCAAGAGTCTGACATATTCAGAGAAGAGGGAAGCCAGTTTAGATCCAGGGACAAGAGAAGTTTTCATGGGTGAAGTGAGATGTGAAAAAGGTATCAAAAGGTGAGTAGGTTTGAGATAGCTAAAAGAAGGTCATTCCAGGCTGGAGGGGGAAAAAAATGAACAAAAGGATGAAGTTGGGGAGGGCAGGCATGTTGTCTGTTAAAATTGTCTGTGAACAATTTTACACAAAGAAGGGATCTGTGTAGGGCAAAATGGCAAATGAGGAAATGAGACTAGAGAAACTGTTAGAGGCTAAAGAGAGGCCATTTTGATTATATCAGAACAGTCATTTAGAAAAGACTTAAAAAATATTTTTTTGTAGCTGAGTTGGGCTAAGCATAGAAGCCACTTGGATTCAAAAGCGTACATTTATCCTATTCACTGGCCCCCGCAAGGCACAGCCTTGCCCAACATGCCACTCTTATCTAGTAAGCTATTTCTGGTACTGAAGAAGAAACAGTCTGCAAGCCAGACCACCTAATGATTAGGAGAGTGAACCAAAGCCAACAGGAATGTGTCTGAAAGCTTGGAGTAGGCATTGCCCACCTCCCCTCCATCTGTGAATACAAGGACATTTCACTATCAGAGGCAGCGCTCTGGAAATAAAAGAATGTTACAATTATGTTTTCCCTTCCATCCAAATATTACAATTTTGTGCCCCTTCCTCTAAAAAAAAACAAACTGTAAAAGAACATATTGTAAATTTCAAAATGTTATCTAAAATGTCAACGTGGCCAGGAAACTTTGTGTCACATCAGTGGTCATGTATCAAAAATTGTTCATGTAAATCTTGAATCATGCTAAAACTGCATGTAGGCTTTGAACTCAGGATGGGTAAAGGACTATGAATTTTGGGTGGAATGAATTTGTGTTGCTTTGAGCAAGATTTTGGCAATAATGCCAACCTGTCTCCCTATAACCTGGTTATAGAAATTAAACACCCCTGTCTCCCAATCTCTGCCTTTTATGTTTAATTGGCCATGAGGGATAGCAGACAATTTGTTGAATCAGGCTGTAATAAAATGCAAGTATGTATTTGTGATCCTGCAGTTCACACATGCAAAACTGACATTGACAAGATAATATTCGCCCATTGATATGTTCTGTTTGGCCCTATCAGCAATTTTTTGTTTCAACATTAACAAAGGTTATCAATCAACATTTAACAATCAATAGATTGTACATTAAAGCCAGGATCTCTGCTTCTTTTGAAAAGTGAGAACATTTGATACCGCTTGGGCCACATTTCCACAAAGTAACAATCTGCTCTAGGAATAATCCTCAAAGTGGTCTGGCAAGCCCCGGGAGTCCCTAGGACCCTATCAGAGTCCTAGGATTTTCTTCATATGCTTCAGCCGAAACATCCTATCACAAAGATTAAATGCAGATGTAGGTATGAGAAGCTAGCTTTCTTTTACAGACATCGAAGAGGTAAAATTGACCATCTTCATTTTTCACACACAAAAAAAGTTATCTAAGTTATCTAAGCTAATACATCTCCCTAGCATCACATTTCTAGCTGACTTCCTGCAGGTATCTGAGTGTTGTCCCCTTTAAGCAATGGAGTACCATAAAAGAGATTATCATCTGAGAGCCTGAGTCATAGGATCTAAGACTGATAAAGTGGGTGAGTGAAATACAATATTCTAGGAATAGAAGATATTTGTTGGAGAGGATACAGGGATTATTTATGAATCTAACTTTATTTACTTAGGGCATATGAGTTATTAAGTGATATGGCCAGGTTCATAAGCAATAGTGACAGATCATACCCAGAAATCATTGGCCTACCTCTGATGCCTTCTTCTTTGTCCGATTGGTTTTTTGACTTGTACTTTCTTTCTCTATTCTCTCCATCTTCTTCTACAATGGTCACCATAGGTGGTTTGTTCTTCATCTCCTTGAGCTCAATCCTAGGAATAAGCCAAGATGTTTGTCTACTGCTCTGGACCTGAACAGGTGACTATGTGAACTCTTGATTCCAGGAAGCAACCCAACCAGCTCACTGATTCTGAAATAAGCCCACTTCCTTCAAAGGGGTGAGTGGTTTGATTTGCTGAGTACATATCATGGACTTACTCTCTTTGAGGTCAAGTCTGGGAGCTGACCACAACCTTTTCCTCTATTCCGAAGGCTCAAAAGCAGCTTGTATATAGAGAAGTTTCCCTGAAGGCCTTGATTTAAATTTTTGTTTTTTATCTCAATTTGAATTTTTTCTACACCCTTTCTAGTTCTATAACTAGATGTCATGGGATGATACAATGAAAGGTGGTTGTTGGAGAGCTTGAGGGCAAGGATTCATAGGCTGGTAGAATATGCCCCCAAAATAACCATTCCTCTCCTCCCGCCTTCTCCACTCCACTTCCCCAACCTCTCCCCAGGCAAAAGAGAAGAACTTGCAAAGGCACAGCTCGGGGTGAGGGAGGGGTGCTCAGCTGATATGTGTAGTTGCAGGTTTTCTTCAGTCTCAGGTATGGAGTACCAGATTGGAGTTGGGAGTGGGGTGGAGCTACTGTCAGTAAATTCAAGGACCAAAAGTCACATAAGTAAAACACCAACAATTGTTCTGAGTACTTAAGTCCTCATGTTCATTTCTAGGTTCTCAGTTGACAGGAGCCTCCTTCTCTGTTCTTAGACCCACTGCAACTGGAGTGCATAAGTCAAAATATGTCGAAGGTGACAGCTAAATTTGCTTCCCAACATCATCAAAATAAGATGATTGTAAATCCACTGATTTATTTTTAATGAGTAAGGCAACACAGTGCAATGGAAAAAACAATGCAACAATCAGGAGCCATAGTTTTATTCCTAGCTTGGCCACTCAGTTGTATGGTCACTTCATCTGCAAGATGAGGGGGTTGAACTAACTAATCTCTAAGGCTTATTCTGGCCTTCATATTGACTCTTCTGAGGTATATGTCATCCAGCTCTTTCCAGAAAGGGGGTTGTTCCAAACCATTAAACACAAGAGGATGTCACACTCAAAATATATGAGAAAATAATACTTTAGGAAGCTAGTTGTTATTCCCCAAACTTGAATGCACGGTGATTAATGGCACAGAAATCAAGAATAAGAACAAAGCTGAGAGGCACACAATGAACAAGTGGTAGCCAACTGGAAATAAAGCTCAAGTCTCTTGACACTTTGTCCAGTGTTAATAATTCCCCAAGTTGCTTTGTTCACATAAAAAAATTAAAATTAATTTGTATCTCTATAAAATGGAGAAAATTATAATATGAGGGAGGAAGCCAAAAAAAAACAGAATTTATTTATAAAAATCATTTGTGTTTCCTACGTGTTTAAATTTCAGTCACCTTCAAAGTACTCACCATTTGATACAATACACCTGTTGAAAAGGTTTTTCCACTGCTTAAAACAGTTTTTGAACTCGTTCATTTTAGTGTTTCTACTGTTTTTTGTTTCACCTCTTTTACAACAGCCTTTTAGTGTTTCTACTGTTTTTTGTTTCACCTCTTTTACAACAGCAAAATGTTTCCCTTTGAGGTCTTTTTCATCAAGGAAACATTAAAAAGTCACTCGGAGCAAGATCAGGTGAATAGGGAAGATGGGGCATGGGGGGGGTCATATGGTTTTTGGTCAGAAACTGCTGAACACTCAGTGTGGTATAGGCAGGTGCATTGCCATGGTGGAAGAACCAGTCACTTGTTTGCCACAATCAGGACGCAAACTTCTGAAAACTTCCAGATAAAAACTTTGGGCACAGTGGCTTATGACTGCAATCCCAGCACTTTGGGAGGCCGAGGCAAGAGGACTGCCTGAGCTCAGGTGTTCAAGACCAGCCTGGGCAACTAGGCAAGACCTTGTCTCTACAATAAATCAAAAACTTAGACAGGCACGCTGGCACTCGCCTATGGTTCCAGCTATTTGGAATGCTGAGGCAGAAGGATTGCCTGAGCCCAGCCGGTCAAGGCTGCAGTGCAGTGGCCAAGAGCATGCTACTCCAGCCTGAGCAACAGACTGAGACTCTGACTCAAAAAAAAAAAAAGAAAAGAAAACTTTGGTTGATCCGAAGAAACAAATTCAGAGTATTCTACAAGGGGCCCACCGTCCAAAAGACAATTCTGGTTTGGGGGGGGCTCGCCTCTTGTACATATGTTGTATGGTTATAGTAAAGATTAAATACAGACATTTTTAGTTACCAGTAGCACCCACTGTACTCAGGGGTACAACTGTTCACTTATTCTAACTTACCTTTTTAACCCATTTAGTGGTAAAAATCAGAGCTCAGGAAGTAAGATAAACTGCAGGAAAAGAAAGAAGTTAGAGCAGAGGAAGTGGCAGAAAGTAGAGGAACGTTCAGCAAGTAAGAAGTTTTACTAATACTGTGGGGACTACGTTTGGTGGAAGTTAGTATCAGAATTTCCAGGGAGCCAAGAGTAGTTTAAAATATATATATTCTAAATGTTCCTTGTTATTTAACTAAACTACAGAAAGTGTCTGCAATAAGCTCTTCTTTGTTGGTACATTGAGAGGTAGAAAGAATGCACTAAAAGGAGCATGAGCAACAGAAGGTTGAGAAACACTATTGAAACAGATCAACAGATCAGCAGGGAGAACTGGTGCCTGGAGGAACCCAGGAGCAAAGCACTAACCTTGGAAATGCGAGCATACTGTTGGGCCGCTTCCCCAAAGCTTCTCTGCTAGACAACACCGAGTCCACAGTGCCAGGCCTCTGAAGGACAGAGACAAGAGATAGAGCAGGATTACACCTGGGCTGTAGTCCAGGACTCAGACAAATCAGAAACTACAGGCTGTCTCAAAGGCAAGGATACTATGATACTTTTTATTGTTGTTTTTGTTTAATGCTTGAAATTCAGAGCTCAAACCCAATGAGGAATGATCTCATTCATCAAAGTAGTCGTGCTGGGTAGCTGCACAGCAGTTCCATTGATGCTGCCTTTTCTCAAACCATTTCCTTTTGGGAAACTGCCTTCAGAATTGACAGCTTCTTTTAGATGTCTTTAAGAGGACAGCAGACTTTCTGAAACTTTCCAGAAAATAAGCAGCTGGTTAGTTCCACTCATGACCAAAGATTCTAAAATCAGGCACTTAAGAGAAGGCCTTGGAGTTTGGTCAAGTTTGGTTTAAATCCCCACAGCTATGTGCAAGCAGCAATGGCACTAGGTTGTGGAGACAATAACAGGATGCAATTCATAGGACTTCTATGAGTTTACTCTATGTCAGTGGATAGCACTAAACAAGTATCTAAGTATTGTATAATTATTAATATAGCAATCACATTATTGCATTATTAGTATAGAATAACATATAAAATTATTTTTTTGAATGAATGCCATAACTTACAAAGGTCTTTGAAGGGAATTCCCAAAAAGAAGTTTTAAAAATATTTTGAGCAAAAGCAGCACCACTGAAATAAGCCCATAGCTTCCCAAGGGGATGACTGCACAGCACACCACTCAGGTTTATGTTACGGGACATTTGGGAGTGAAACTATCACTCCCACCACCTGACAGCAGTTTCTCAAATAAATTAATGAGTACTAAATTAACCCAGAATCCCATTATTAAATACATTCAGGCAGTTCACCTGGCTGCCTTATAGCCAGCTTCTCAACTACATTAACACGTTGCTGTGTTTTGTGCCTCTGTCCATGAGGGTGATTGATACAATCAGCAGTTCTCAGTCTGCCTCTAAACTCTTTTTTCATAGAATACCTTTCAGGACTAGTACATTTGGGAAAAGTTCCTTAAAAGTTATACTTTAGAGTTCAGCAGATCAAGGAAAATGTCATCTTCTCCTTTAAACACATGTTGAAGCTACGAAGTTCAATGGAGTCCCTGAGGGTTAGAGATGAGCTAGCCACTTTGGCCTTGCTTATGGACTTGCAAATCTTGCCCTGTTTTCATGAAAAAGCAAGGGAGTGTGTTTCCCTGGGTGTGTTTCCACTTTCCACACACAGGGTGGCATCCCTCTTAGCAAGCCTATATGAAACCAGACTGTGTAAAGAAAGCACCAAAAGCTCCAGTATGTACAACTCCATCTCATAAATCTCCATCCCGGAGCTTCATGGCAGGAGAAATGTGTAGAATTAGATGATATTCATAGCCTTTTCATGTAAAAATCAGGCTTTTCCAGGTGAACTGAGGACCAATAGGAGGCTCAAACTTTACCCGTACGTAGACCACTTATGTACCCAATTCTGACTTGTACTCCACATCTTTAAAATAAAAATAAAAATTTTAAAACATTTTTAAAAATTTAAAAAATAAAATTTGGGCTTTTTCTCTAGGGGATATAGGATTATATAGCATTCCATGATCATTCAATTCATTCATGTAGACTTTATCAGTTCCCAGAGGAATACCTACGGCACATTAAGGTATTCAATAAAGCCTGCTGATTAACTATTTCGTTGCCTTCTTAAACTCTGCTATGTCCAATTAGTGTGAAGGTCACACCACCTACTTAAGGGTTAACAATGTGTAAGTTTATATCACCTACTGAAAGGTTAACAATAAAGCTGCCAATTATGACATTTCTTCTACAACATGGCAAATTCAAAGCTAAAGATACATCTCCATGACTTGAATTAGATTTTGTTGCAGGAGAACCAGCAAAAGCTGAGTGACAGGGAAGTCTGTGCTTGAATTCCAGTTCTACCACTTATCAACACCTTGACCTTGGGGTTCCCACAAAACTCTCTGAATCCCTACTTTTCTCACTTGTAAAATTAGGATAATAATACCGATTGTATAATAATTTGAAACTCAAATGAGATAATACATATATGGCCAGGCACAGTGACGCACACCTGTAATCCCAACACTTTGGGAGGCCGAAGTAGGTGGGTTGCTTGAGCCCAGGCATTCAAGACCAGCCTAGACAATGCAGCAAAATCTCTTCTCTACAAAAAATAAAAATAAATTGACTGGGCATGGTGGCATGCCTGTAGTCCCAGCTACTTAGGACACTGAGATGGAAGGATCACCTAAGCCCAGGAGGTTGAGACTGCCATGAGCTGTGATTGTTGTGATCATGCCACTGCACTTCAGCAAAGTAAGGTGACAAAGTAAGACCCCAACTCTTCCCCCCACAAAAAGGAAATAAAATAAATAATACATATGAAAGAACTTTTTAAACTATAAGGTACTATAAAATGTTCAGTTATACGTTTCTATTACTGTTTATATTATTCAGTTGGCATTGACTCAAAACTTAGTCTAAAGTTCCTTTGCCCTTATAATCCTTTTTGTCAAAAAGTTAATCATGTAAAAAAAACTTCTATGCACTTGGGGTAGCTGTCACTCACTATACGCCAACCTTAGTTTTTCTTAATGACAACACATCCATAGATGGTTCAGAGCTACATTTAAGAGAGGACTTAGGAGAAGGAAAATATTAATTTACATTTGCTAGGACTTTTGCCAAAGCCCCACTTCCATCCATGGTTGAAAGGAAGTCTTTATAAAATCTCATCTTCACTTTGCTGTCTCTGATGATGAGGACCCCAATTCCTTTGAACATAAACTCCACATTTTGTTTGATGGAAATGGATCGTGATAAAAAAAGCAACGTCTCCTTCACACATCCTTCCACTACATCCCTATTAAAAGGACCTTCCAGGGATATCATGACAAAATTAAGTGGAACAATTGGGATATCACCTAGAGGAGAAAAAAGGTGGATAGAGGAAAGAAAGTGGCAGTTACAATAAGGACATGTCATTCACACTCACATATAATTATCTGGTGCTCTATTTTTGGTATTAACCCAAAAATAAAATTGCTCACGTGAAGCCTTTAGTTATGCCCAATATAATATTATTACTGCAGACAATAACACAACTAGTTATTAATACATGTTAATCAGTATAATTTTATCTAAAAGTATAATGCTTTATGTTCAAAATAAGAACAATTCACTTTCTAAACAACACTATAGACAAGCTTTTGATTTTCTCTAGGAGACATAGTAATAACTATTTGTTTCTCTTCATCTGAGAGTTTTCTCAAGTTTTCAGCCTCCTCATCTTTCAGGAGGCACTGCAGCAATATTTGCCCATATCCTCCAGTTATCATTTTTAAATGATTATAAACATCTAAAAGGCCGGGTGTGGGGGCACATGCCTTTATTCCCAGCACTTTGGGATGTAAAGGCAGGAGGGCCCCTTGAGCCCAGGAGTTCAATACCAGCCTGGACAACATAGCAAGACTTTGCCTCTACAAAAAATAAATAAACAAATAAAAACTTAGCTGAGTGAGGCGGTGTGCAAGGGTAGTCCCAGCTACTCAGGAGACTGACTCAGGAGGATCACTTGAGCCCAGAGGAGTTGGAGGTTGTAGTGAGTCTTGATCATGCCACTGTACTCCAGTCTGGGTTACATACAGAGTAAGACCCTGACTCTAAATAAATATCTACAAATGTTTATATTTTGAAAAGAGAGTCATCTTCACTAGAAGTTAGCATTTAAATGAAACTGGGTCTTATACAAGAAAATGAAGCTGAATAATATGTGGAAAGCTTTTCCTCTCTAATGAGCCATTAGACTAAACAACACTGTAAAGGACTAAGATGATACCTAGCTTGAAGGAAGCACGGCATCTATTTGACTAGAATAGATGTAGCAGTTGTGCAAATTCCACAAGTCAAGAAAGGGGTAAATAGCAAAGAAGATCAAGACGATAAATCCAAAGAGAGACAATAACAGTGTCCACTGATAGAGAAACAGGGCAGAGGGAACATGAGAATATTCTGAACACTCACCCCATGAATATGAATTATAGCCTTTCAAATGTCCACTAAGGAATGATGATTAACAGCTACACAAGAGATGAGCTTCACTGTATCAGCCCATTGTCTCCTACACAATTTAAGAGTAATTCTATACAACCTCCTCCATTTCTTCTTTTTAAATATATATTTTTTAAAGAGTAGGGTTTCTTGCCTACATCTAGATTCTCCCCTCCCATTAACCCATATTCTCTCTGCAATCTGTCTTTCAGCTCACTCATCTCAGTAAGGACACAATCATCTCATGGTGGGCAAGTCAGTGGATACTTCACAAATCTTATTAACTTTTGTTGTCCATGTCCTGTCTTTTCTCTCATATCCATGACATCGCTCTTGGTTCTCCAGTTTTCTCCTCTTTGGTCTCCTTTGCTAGCATCCCTCCTCCTGATCTTCTTATAAAATACTGAGGTTTGTTTTCTTGTTTTTTACAGGATTCTGTCTTTGTCTGTCTCTACTTATCCTCTCCTGGGTAAACTTATTCAAATCTTGATCTCTAGTCCCCACCCCTCTCCTAAGCTGTGGAATCACTTCCACCTAAATACCCATATAGGAATCTCAAATACAGCAGCATATCCAAAAGCAAATTCCTTATTTTATCCACCACCACAACCTGCCTTTCTCCTTCTTTCCCTATGGCAGATAATGGCATGAGCACCCATCTATTCTCCATCTAAGACATCTGAGTCATTCTAAATATCTTCCTTCCTCTTTCTACTCACCACTCTCAACCAGTCCTATCAATTCTACACCTGAAATGTCTCCTAAATAGATGCCTCCGTTTCTCTCCTAATGACCATTGCTGTCGTTCAGGCTTTTACCATATTTTACCAAATGACTATAATTGAAATAGCTATCTTCCTAGACTAAAAACTGGAACTGTAGAGACAATTTTCAGCTCAAAAACTTACAGTGGCTCTATAGTGCCTACGGGATGAAGTCTACAGTCCTATCACACCTTATAAGGCCCCTCACAACTGACTCTTACCATTTTTACCCTCTACTTGATCCCACAATCATATGCCTTAGCCATATGCAAGTACTCATCAATACCTTCACAGACTTCACTCTTTCCCATGTTCTTAACTTGTTCCCACCATTCCTGAAATATCTTCCCACAGCTCCTCTGTTGGCAGAGTGCTATCCTCCTTTAAGACTGCATCCTATGCCTCCCCAAGCAGAGTTAGGTATGCTCTCTCCTGGGTTCCCATAGCATTTGATCCAGTTCTGATCAATGCTGCTTTTACAGAACTTAATCATGTGTTACTATTTACTTATATATTTATTGTCTATGCTAGCTTCTGAGATTCTTAACACAAGAACCATGTCTTGCTAACCTTTTAAAACCACCGTATGATGTTTGATTATCTAGTTAATTAATACTAAATAACCATAACCTTAAGGCTAAAATATAGACAGAATTGTTCTTTTGAACTAATTCAGTCATATATGTTTTAATTCTGAAATTTCCTCACCCTGTAAAAAAATTGATTGTAGCTCTAAACTACATTTTTGGACCATACTACAAGATCCAGGATGGAAAATAAGTTTTAATTCTGAGACACAAATGTTTTTGCAAAAATGTTGGCTTTATTTTCATTTCCTTAGATAGTTTTATGAACTAGGATATATTTCTTCTGTATAAAACTCTAGATATTTCTTCTTGTTGCCATATAGCAGAGGAAAAAAGGGAAAAAAAACTCTAGGCAAAATTGACCAAAAAGTCCATCAAACCCACCATACTGACTATATGCATAATGAATTCTAAGTATAGTTTGTTAGTATTTTTTTTCCAATATATCATTTTTGTTACTGTTTTGGAGAGTTACTCTGAAAAGCAGCTTTTAGGAAAGTTAACTTAAAGGAAAGTTGTAGTCTTTTCACTGCTTCTGTCTAGGATAGACTGTCTCTCCTTATCCAGCTATGAGTTTGATGCAGGAAAGGACAATAAGGAAAGTCAAAAGGAACACAACCAGAAATTAGGCTGCTAAGAACAAAGGCAGGTGTTCCCAAGCTCATGCATTAAAGCTGGGTGGAAGCTGTCTATGTCAGAGGTTATGTCTTTTTTGTTTACCACTTAATCTCAAGAGCCTGGAACAAGACCTGACAAATAGCTGATCCTCAGTAAGTATTTTAAGAAAAGGAAGGAAGGAAGGAAGGAAGGAAGGAAGGAAGGAAGGAAGGAAGGAAGGAAGGAAGGAAGGAAGGAAGGAAGGAAGGTTGTTCTCAGGATGTAAGAAAGATATCAAAGGTATGCATTAAGTCTTTATGGAATTATTCAGCTTCTAACTTATAAATTTTAATAATTTAGATTATATATATGATAGGAATACTTGTAGTTATCTTTTTCCCAGCTGATATTGACTTAGTTCTCCCAACCAAAGACCCTAATAACTCTCCCTTCTTTATTACCTCCTGTAATTTCTTAGTCTGAATTATGAATAAAGCTCTGTGGGGAGTTTCTATATAAATTTGCCTTTATATCTCATCAGGTCTTCTCCTGCCTGCCTCTTGGGTTGCTGGGGTCTAAAATGAACTTCAGGAAGACTCCATTTAATTTCTACTTTTGTTCCTCCCTTTGCCAAAGGTACTATGTGAAAGGTGAGCCCCTCAAGTCAGAAACTAGTGAGGCAGCACTGGCCAAGTCTTACCCTCTCATTTTTATCCCCAGACCAGTAACCGTCTGGGAAAATCTTAAATATTAAAATTATTTACCAGGAGTATATACTTTGTTTTGTTTGAGTCCATGGATCTGTGCTAACTTCTCCGCCATGATAAACACAGGCCTCTGGATTAGGATAAACTTGTTATTTCCCACCTCAAGCTTTTGTCTCATGAAAGTGAAAGTTCCAAATCCTGGTATCTGAACCCCCTGAAAGGAAAAAGAAATGGGGGGGGGGGAGCAACAAACAGAATTCATTGAAGGGGTGAAGAAAGAATAATCCTTAGTATTGTTATTCAAAAAACATGAAGCTGATTAAGCTTAGGCCTTAAAATTTTAATGATATCTAGGACCATATAGATACAGCATTTTATAATTCTAAGTTTTCAAATAAGTTTAATATAAAATGTAATATATTGATCCATGATGATTTACAGATATCAGATCTCTTATCTCCATATCATTAAAAGGCTAAGAAAAACTGCATGAATGCCATGGCATCTTTTACTCTATATCTAGGATTGCTCTTCGTAAATTGTGTGACATTTTAAATTTTAATCGTTTGCCATTAGAGGAATTTATTTTATTTATTTATTTATTTAGAGTTGAAATCTCACTTATTTATTTATTTATTTATTTATTTAGAGTTGGAGTCTCACTCTGTCGCCCAGACTGGAGTGCAGTGGCCGCTCCTGGCCACCACAGCCACGACCTGCTGGGCTCCGGCGATCCTTCCGCCTCAGCCTTCCGAGTAACTGGAACTACAGGCGTGTGCTACCACGCCTGGCTGATTTTTTGATTTATTGTAGAGATGAGGTCTCACCAAGTTGCCCGGGCAGTTCTCAAACCCGCGGGCTCAGGCAATCCACTCACCTCAGCCTCTCAAAGGTACAGGATTACAGGCTGAGCCACCAAGCCCGGCTATTAGAGGAATTTAAAAGGACATAAGAATCTTTGCTTTCTCATTCCCTCTTTTAGATTTTATGTCTGCCACTTAGAATCAGACAACCCCACATCCAAATCATATGCTACAATGTAGAGATCTTGGCTGACGGGTGAAAGCAAATGCTTCTGGCTCTCAAACTGGATTTCTGTCTCCCTGGAGATATCACACATTGAGGATTACAAACTCAAATGCCTACAAGGGTCAAAAAAAAAGAATGCGCAGTCAGATGCCTGTAATTCCAGTTACTTGGAAGGCTGAGGCGGAAGGATCGCCGGAGCCCAGCAGGTCGAGGCTGTGGTGGCTGGGAGCAGCCACTGCACTCCAGTCTGGGCAACCGAGGGAGACTCCAACTCAAAAAAAAAAAAAAAAAAAAGAATGCAAGAGAGTGAAGATAGCCAACCAGAGAACGTGACTGCTAGAGTGCATCCCTCATCTAAAGGGGAGAGGTCATGGTGAGCTCCAGAGTTCCAGCCGAGTATCACCATAAAGATTGGAAGACAGATGTTGTTATATCTGCTGATTTTTCAAGAAAGAGGCAGAAAAAAACCCAAACTTTATATAAATATTCCCAATTTTAAATGATGATAAGAAGTTCAAATTCTTAAACCAAATAAAATAAGTTTGAAGGATGAATTGTACCCAAGAGCTACCTAGTGGGACCTCTGAGTATAGTATAAAAGTTTCACATCTTCTCCCTAAGCGCCTCGCAGAATCCCCATTCAGTTCTATGGCATCTAAACCCAAAATTTAGGAGGGAACAGTTCAGCCCTAGGCAAAATTTCTCATTTTGGTAGGCTGAGTTTAGTTCCTGACTGCCTTCTTATATTTCAATTAGACTTCCTTCAACAGACACGGTGGCTCACACCCGCATTTCCAGCACTTTGAAAAGATGAGCCGAAAGGATTGCTTGAGCCTAGGAGTTTGAGACCAGTCTAGGCAACATAGTGAGACTTTGTCTCTAAAAAAAATTTAAAAATTAGCTGGGAGAGGTGACTCGCACCTGTTGTCCCAGCTCTCAAGAGGTGGAGACAGAAGGATCACCTGAGCCCAGGAGATCAAGGCTGTGGTGAGTTGTGACCAAGCCACTGCACTCCAACTAAAAAAAAAAAAAAATTTATTCCTTACAAGGAAGCAAGACAAAAAGTATTATATCCTACAGCTATGTTGGTAACTATCAGATCACAGAAAAACAGAACTCATCTAGTTTTTTACACAACCCCAGGCTGATCACTAGAAGAGCAGAACTTACAAACTCAGTATACCTAAGAATAAAATCCATGTTTGTTAAATCTACCACCTACAAGCCCTAAGTGTATCATAAAGTCACAGTACTGAAAGTTAAGCTGTTAAGTCTCATGTACACTTACATTTTTAAAAAGAAAGTTAAACTGAATGACTCTAAAATCTACTGCCCCACTCCCAGCAAAATTATATAAGACTATGGAGGAAAGATTCTTTGGACTCCCACATTAAAATTTAAACATTAAATTCCCACCTTGTGCCGGATTAGCTGCTGTTCCACAAATTCTGACACATTAGCCCAGATAGCAGAGACTTCTGAAATTCAAAGGAAACCAGAAATAATTTAAGTGAGCAACTATGTGATAGCATCTTAGTGCTAATAAATAAAAATTTAAATATGAAATGTAAAATCAAGTGACATTAATTCCTAATTAACTTAGAATTTACAGAAAATAAGGTCATTCCCAAAAAGTTAATTTTCTTGGTAACTAAGGCTTACCCCCTTAAGTTCCAAAGATGCTATTTTTAAAAATAATAATAATTTTTTAAAGAAAATCTTTCTACAATAAGGGGAACTCTGTCACACATTTCCCTTTATTCTATAGAGTTAATCAAGCATAACCTAGTCTTTTCTTAATGACCCATTTACCAACTGTTTATCAAGTGCCTACTCTGTGCCATCTGATTAACATGAACATTCATTCCTACACCATCTATAACACAGAAATAAGGCCAAGAGCCACTAGGGCATGAAAGGCTATTGTCTGTACATTAACTTTCCCTACATTTCTATTTTTCCTAAATTCTCAAACTGTTTTTTATTCACATTTTTCACTGTTAAACTACAAGCTCTCTTTTTTTTTTTTTTTGAGTTGGAGTCTCAGTCACCCAGGCTGGA